AGTTGACGGCTGAATATTCTGTGAGCGAATGAAATACCTATCTGCTCCCTTGAGGTTCCCTAACTGGTGACGGCTAATCCAGTTGCCATCACTGTGCCCTATTCCAGTCAGAAGAGACCTGAACAACTCTTTTCTTCTAACTGTTGTTCTCTTTTGCAGCTCTATTCCCTTATCTCCGATCCCGAGATAATTCAAGATAAGACAAATGGCAAGAGGTACACAAAGATTCTTCCGCTGTATTATTTTATGAGAAGATTCACATCTCTTTATTATTTTATTTATTTGTATTGTGAATCTGTCTTACAATAGCTTTATATAATTCATACTACCTCCAATACTTAATATAAGAATTTATTTGATTTTTATTTTAATTCTAAATATAAGGCTTTTAATTCTCATATTTATCTGTTATTTTTCAAGATAGTTCTTGTGATAATGGTAGTTCTAACCAATATACCTTATTAGTAAGAATATTTTAGAAAATATAACATCTATTTATCACAAATAACTAACTTAACTATTTTTTATAATCTACTCAAATTAGTTAACTAGCTCTTATATTAAGAATCGGAGATAATACTATAGTAAGACTTGTTATTGGAATTTGTTGTGGGCGTGAAGTTTGATGGTCACGTGGATATATTGCCATCTACTTAAGGTTATCGAATCATGATGTTATTATTGATTATTATCATTATGTTTGTTTATGAATTTGTAGTTTCTGCGCGGCTTTCTTTTGCTTGAGGCATGAAGATAAAGGTGATTACGTTACAAGAACCTTATCTAATACTCTTTCGATTTTTAATATAAGATCTATTTAACTAATTTGATTAGAATAAAGAAGTTAAGTAAACTAGTTAATTATAATAAACGTGACATATTTTTTCTAAGATACCTTAAACATTACATGGCCCAACTCCTTCTGATCCTATACCCATTGAGTCATGATATAGCTTTATATAATTCATACTACCTCCAATACTTAATATAAGAATTTATTTGATTTTTATTTTAATTCTAAATATAAGGCTTTTAATTCTCATATTTATCTGTTATTTTCCAAGATAGTTCTTGTGATAATGGTAGTTCTAACCAATATACCTTATTAGTAAGAATATTTTAGAAAATATAACATCTATTTATCACAAATAACTAACTTAACTAGTTTTTATAATCTACTCAAATTAGTTAACTAGCTCTTATATTAAGAATCGGAGATAATACTATAGTAAGACTTGTTATTGGAATTTGTTGTGGGCGTGAAGTTTGATGGTCACGTGGATATATTGCCATCTACTTAAGGTTATCGAATCATGATGTTATTATTGATTATTATCATTATGTTTGTTTATGAATTTGTAGTTTCTGCGCGGCTTTCTTTTGCTTGAGGCATGAAGATAAAGGTGATTACGTTACAAGAACCTTATCTAATACTCTTTCGATTTTTAATATAAGATCTATTTAACTAATTTGATTAGAATAAAGAAGTTAAGTAAACTAGTTAATTATAATAAACGTGACATATTTTTTCTAAGATACCTTAAACATTACATGGCCCAACTCCTTCTGATCCTATACCCATTGAGTCATGATATAGCTTTATATAATTCATACTACCTCCAATACTTAATATAAGAATTTATTTGATTTTTATTTTAATTCTAAATATAAGGCTTTTAATTCTCATATTTATCTGTTATTTTCCAAGATAGTTCTTGTGATAATGGTAGTTCTAACCAATATACCTTATTAGTAAGAATATTTTAGAAAATATAACATCTATTTATCACAAATAACTAACTTAACTAGTTTTTATAATCTACTCAAATTAGTTAACTAGCTCTTATATTAAGAATTGGAGATAATACTATAGTAAGACTTGTTATTGGAATTTGTTGTGCGCGTGAAGTTTGATGGTCACGTGGATATATTGCCAGCTACTTAAGGTTATCGAATCATGATGTTATTATTGATTATTATCATTATGTTTGTTTATGAATTTGTAGTTTCTGCGCGGCTTTCTTTTGCTTGAGGCATGAAGATAAAGGTGATTACGTTACAAGAACCTTATCTAATACTCTTTCGATTTTTAATATAAGATCTATTTAACTAATTTGATTAGAATAAAGAAGTTAAGTAAACTAGCTAATTATAATAAACGTGACATATTTTTTCTAAGATACCTTAAACATTACATGGCCCAACTCCTTCTGATCCTATACCCATTGAGTCATGATATAGCTTTATATAATTCATACTACCTCCAATACTTAATATAAGAATTTATTTGATTTTTATTTTAATTCTAAATATAAGGCTTTTAATTCTCATATTTATCTGTTATTTTCCAAGATAGTTCTTGTGATAATGGTAGTTCTAACCAATATACCTTATTAGTAAGAATATTTTAGAAAATATAACATCTATTTATCACAAATAACTAACTTAACTAGTTTTTATAATCTACTCAAATTAGTTAACTAGCTCTTATATTAAGAATCGGAGATAATACTATAGTAAGACTTGTTATTGGAATTTGTTGTGCGTGTGAAGTTTGATGGTCACGTGGATATATTGCCAGCTACTTAAGGTTATCGAATCATGATGTTATTATTGATTATTATCATTATGTTTGTTTATGAATTTGTAGTTTCTGCGTGGCTTTCTTTTGCTTGAGGCATGAAGATAAAGGTGATTACGTTACAAGTACCTTATCTCATACTCTTTCGATTTTTAATATAAGATCTATTTAACTAATTTGATTAGAATAAAGAAATTAAGTAAACTAGCTAATTATAATAAACGTGACATATTTTTTCTAAGATACCTTAATCATCTTCATCATATCTTCCGTTCCTCTCATACTTGATTATAGTTGAGGGAGTATCAATAGGAGTGATTTAGAAAAAAAAATTGATAGATATAAAAAATAGGTCTTATATTTAGGACTATAATTAACTCTACTATTAGGTACTATATTAGAAACCAGAGCAGTACTACTAATCTTTGCCGGTGTTGATGGGTCACGTGGCTTTTGGCTTCGAATTGGATGATCTTTCTTCTCTGGACCGACAACGTTTGGGTTACAGTTAGTTGTCCCGCTAATTTTCTTGCATCGTTTTCTCTCTTCATCAATCGTTGTTCTTATCGTCGAGAGGTTTCTTCCTTCATAGCCACAAAAATATTTCCAATTTGTTATACAATCTAATTACTATCTCCGGTCTCAATTATAAAAACCAGTTGACTAGTTTGAAGAAAGTAAGAAAGTAAGTTGAGTTAGTTATTTGTCCTAAATATGTGTTGTCTTTCCTAAAATATCTTTACTAATCAAGTGTATTGACTAGAACTCTTATTATTAGAAGGGCTACTTTGAAAAAATATATATAAGTATGAGAGACAAAATAGATTGGGTCTTATATTTAAAACCAAAATAAAAGTCAAACAGGTCTTATATTAAAGACCAAGGTAGTATAATTTTGAATTAATTTCTGAACTGCAATTTGTTTTTAAGAATTTGGGAATATTTGACAAGTCACTTAAAAACAAGACAATTTTCAAGCGGCTTACCTTGTATTTTTTCACATAGGTTGTGAAATATTTTCAACCTACTTCAATTTTCTAAAAGTCATCTTTTGCTTACTCAGAGAAATTTCTCCAAGTGGTTTTATAGGATGACAATAATTCGTAATTCTTAACTAAAATTATCCCGCTTGAAAGATACTAAAATGTCATTTTCCCTGTTAAGAATGTGATGGTATGTGATAAGCATAAACTCAAGAGGAGAGTCCAATCCCAAAAGATTAGTCTATTAGGAGAGAAAGCATATTGAACTTATAAGCTCCACAACACTTGTGAAATTTTTTAATGTGAGACTTATAATATGGTATATGTCACATATATGTAATTCATCATAACAAACTGCTCTTATTTTACCCGTATGAACGAGGAAAATTTAAACAAGGATGTTTTATTATTGAAAGGAGACATTTTATGCTAAGCCGCAAGGGAAGGAAAGAAACTCCAAAAAGAAAAAGAAAAAGAAAAAAAAAGGCCCTCATATATGTAATATAATTAATTTTACTATGGAGAAAAAGCTCACGTGGATTTATCAATTTGATTTGATTAGCGGTTTGGACTTGTCAATATAATATTGAAGGAAAAATTTTTGTGGCAAAAAAAAAAAAGGAAATAAAAATTTTCAATATCCATAAAATGGTTTTCAATTATAATTTTTTTTGTATGTTAAAATTTTTGTATTCATTTTTTCTCATTAAGGAAGACTAACATTTGAGGACCTTATAAAAACATTAATTGCAGGAAAAATTAATTTTTCAATATTTGAAGTTTTAACTTACTTATAACTTAATTCATTAATTATGACTCGGTCCAACTCAATTACTTAACTTTTAACTTATTTATAACTCAGTTCTTAATTTTTTAATATTTAATAATTTAATCCTTATCATATATATATAAATTATTTTGAGTCATCGCTATTTGGCCAAAAAGATTTTAGGAACCTCCAACGTGGCAGAAAAGGGGGCACCCATTGTACCAAAAAAAAAGGAGGGAGGGGGGGCCACCCACACCGCGGATAATTTTCAGATATAGAAATTTACCGGCTTATTGCATCAGTCTCAAGTCAGAGGATCGTTGGGTTTATACTTCACTCTGATGCCTCACTTCACAGGTACAATATTCTTATTAGCTGCATGCAACCCATTAAAGCCCTAAAGAAGTTGATAAAAACAATCTGGAACCTTCATATTTATTGTAAAAATGTATCTATATATAAAGGTTGTGTATTTCAGTTAAAATGTCATTTTTTTTAAAAAATCAATACTATGATTTTGCAGAAATGTCAAATATATATATAGTCTTTTAATTTCTATGAAAAAAAAAAAGGACTGAAACATGGATGAATGGCTGAAAATTTACTTCCTAGATTTGTGACGGAGAGCGAGGTTGCCAGGTTGGATAGGCAAAAAGTACTTGTTGAATGAAAACTACATGCCAACAACAGAACAGTACCTTGAGACAGCAATGATAAGTTGTTGTTATTCATTGCTCTCAACAGTATCTTTCTTTGGGTTGCGACATCTTGCCACTGAGGACATGTTCAAATGGGTTACAAGTCAGCCTAAGCTTGTCAAAGTTTCTTCCCTTATTTGCAGAGCCATGGACGACATCGTCTCTAGTGAGGTACTTAATTATATGACATATACATAATTAAAATGAAGATCCTTTAATTTGGTGATTTTGAAACCTTTTAATTTGTGTGCGTACAGTTTGAGCAGAAAAGAGGGCACGTTGTGTCGGTTCTTGATTGCTATATGAAGGAACATGGTGTGAGAAGGCAAGAAGCCATTGAAGAGTTTCGTAGGGTTGTTAGTAATGCGTGGAAGGATATGAATGAAGAACTCCTTAGACCTTTGGAAGTGGACAGGCCTTTTCTAATGCCACCTCTGAACTTAGCTCGTGTTATGGACGTGCTTTACAAAGAAGAAGATAATTACACTCATGCCAAAGGCATCATGAAGAATTCCATTACAGCTTTGTTGGTGGATCCTGTGCCTGTATGAGCATCGACCTCATTTTTCTCATATATTTATATTATTTCCAGTCTTTAATATAATATCTAGTTAACTAGTTAGGCCTTATACTAAAGACCGGAAGTAGTAGTTTATAGTCTCCTTACTCTTTATACATATTGTCGGAGTAGTATTAGATGTTGGTTAATAAAAAATTGGGATAGCTACTATCCTAAGTTTATATAAAGGATTATGGCTTAAGAGTAATATAAAGAGGCTGGATCCTTACCTAGAGAAAGGTTCCCTTCTCATATTTCCATGTTGGTGTTAGTGCACCTTTTAAACAAGGGTTTAATTGTTTCTATGTTCGTCACTTTTAGAGGGTTGATTGTTATTTGTATTGCTTGATCTCAGCATTTTATTAATGAAAAAAAAAATGTTCTTTTTTCCTCTTATCTCGTGATTAACACACATGACCCAATATGAAGGATAATGAATAAAATTAATCTGTACTCCCTGCCATTTTAATCTGTATAAGAGCTATTTAATTGATTTGAATAGATTAAGAAATTCACATAAATTAGTTAATGAGAACAAATTATTTACATGTAATATTATATTATGTATTAATTTATAAGTTAGTAAATTAGTTGAGAGAAAAATGATAAATATGAAAGATAAAGTAAATTGATATTCTATATTTAACACCAATTCAACTTCTAGCTAACCCATATATTTGATACTTTTGGATTTTTTTTCCTCCAAATCTTCTTGCGATCTTGATGCCCTACTTTAATTTCTAATACTGGCATGTGATTAATATTTGAGCTTTACCCTTTCTTATTGTAAGAAAAGAAAAAACACAGAAGAAGAAAATTAAAAGAAGATCACGACGAAGAATTAAACTTGACGGCACTGACATTTTCTATGGGCAACAAAATCTGAGAAAAGCTAATGAAATATTAAAAAAAAATCACTGCCACTTATTAATTCATGTTAATAGCTTCTACACTTCAGGCAAATAATTGTCGGTTTCAGTCATTCGATCTTAACTTCAATTAGTTATGTTAACTTAACCCCTTAGTTTGACTAACTTAACCAGGCTTCAATTATTCTTAATAATTGTGCAATTCAATTTAAAAGGATGAAAATGACAGTAAATGAGTGTGTGAAGTTTAAGTGCCTTTTCGCATCATTGTGATATCCTACCTCCGGTTCTAATTATAAGAGCTAATTGACTAATTTGAGAAGATTAAGGAAGTAAGTTGAATTAGTTATTTGTCCTAAATAGGTGTTGTCTTTCCTAAAATATCCTTACTAATCAAGTATATCAACTAGAACTATAATTATTAGAAGAATTATCTTAGAAAAATTGAATAAATATGAGAGACAAAGTGGATTGGGCTCTTATATTTAGGACCAAAATAAAAGTCAAACAGGGTCTTATATTAAGGACCGGAGGTAGTACTATCCAAATCATCGTCCCAACCTAATTTATATGATTTAAATTTGAAAATTTTAATTAGTTAACTTTTTTTCAGAGAATAAAATGTTACATTTTTATAAGAGATTGTTAAGAAAATAATATTTATTTGTTTTGAATTTTATAATTATTAAAAATGTACAAATAATAATATATGGAGGACCAAGAGTTATCCATTGGCATTATTAACTAATTTCTATTGGAAGAAGGAGGACGGCTGGACGCATCGCAACTGTACTTGCTTTTGATTGACAAAATAAAATAAAAACTTTTTATAGTCATTAAGTGACTTTTAATGATTAAAAAAATTAATTTAGTTTTTTTTGTGTATGTAAAAACAAACTGTGTTTATTTTTTTTTCACATTAATAACTGGAAAAATCATTATAACTCTAGATTGTTAACAGATACTGCCTAGATTGTCAACAGCTCTCTTTGGGTTATTAATACTCACCATTGAGGTTGTAAATAGATCTTCACATTAAAATGCTGCTATAATCCTATTGGATTATAGCTTCCCATTTTAGTGTTAAAGTTGTTGTATTATACTATTTGGTTATAATTTACGCTTATTTGGAGGTTATATAATTCTATAAAGTAAGTTGTTAACGGATACTGCTTAGGTTATTAATACCCTCTCATTTGGTTGTTAATAGTCGCTGTTGAGGTTGTAAATGGATCTTCGCATTAAAATATTACTATAATCCTATTGGATCTAGTTAAAATTCTTAATGATATCAAAAAGCTTCTCATTTTAGTGTTAAAGTTGTTGTATTATACTATTTGGTTATAATTTACTCTTATGTAGAGGTTATATGATTCTATAAAGTAAGTTGTTAACAGATACTGATAGGGTTGTTAACGCCCTCTCATTGGGTTGTTAATAGTCATTACTGAGGTTGTAAATCGCAATGACAGAGCAAATGTGAATCTGAAATATGAGGGGCAGTAATGTCATTTTACAAATCGAAAATATTACTCTGAGGTCCTTTGAGACCTGTCAGTGATTTTGACATTTCGTGGGACCTCAGAGTAATAAATTATTTTCTGTGGGACCTGTACGTAATTTTTTTTTTTTTTTTGCCGAAGAAATTCCATAACCAAATGAATGAAGACCACAAATTCCCCTAATTTCACTTTATATTCCCTATTATTAACACCATATTTTCTTAATTTTTTGGGAAAAGGTGCATATTTTTTAGAACCGAAAGTGTTGGCTTTCTCAGAAAATATGCAACTTTTCTTTTTAAAAAATTATGAAAATATGGTGTTAATTATGAAAGTTATTTCTTTTTGTGAAAAAGTTTTTTCCTCGAAAAAATGACATGTTTTCAAGAAAAATTGCGATTATGTAGTACTATGAGAAACTCGTCACTTTCTTTTTGATGTGTGGGGGATATGGTTTATAGAACCACGAAAAAAAAAACGCAATATATTCTTATTATTATGCTATTTATCACTTTCTTTCCCATGTCATGCTTCTAATCCTATTATTTAAATATGATATTGACAAAAAATACAAGATATTTAAGAATGAATAAAAATGTAATTTTACCTCTAATTTTATTTCTCACATTTAATTTTATTTTTGACATTTTTAATAGTATAACTTTAGTCATAATTTTTTACATAATTTAGTCATTATTTCTTTTGATGTGATTTTTACTTGAGAAATAAAATTGTGCTTCTAAAAATATCAAATATAATTTTTTATCTTATTTATAAGTCACTTTTAACATTTTTTACATAAAGTAAAAAAAATCTTAAATTTTATTACCTCACTTTTAAAATTCAACAATTTTTTAAATTTATTCTTATTTCATATTGATTATATCTTGTATAGATAAAATTAAGGAGAAGTTGCAATTTAAGACTTTGGAATTGTAAAAACGCAGATAGAGATCCTTGACAATTTCATTTTGAGTTTTGACAACTTCAAGAGTCCCTATCTGCGTTTTTGCAATTCCAACGTCCTAAATTGCAATTTGCCCTAAAATTAACATAATAAAAAATAAAAAATAAAATTATATATTTATATTTAAAAAAATATTCCCACCGTACCCGATTTAAAAACTGGCTTCAGTCTCTGTCATACAAACAGTGGTTAGCCCAAACTGCTTGTGGTGGAAGAATGCTGATGCGACACATCACTACGTGTCATGACAAGAGAAACAAAATAATAGGTCAGAGTCAGAGAGCTCTATTGAGCGTACGGGGAGGGACAGCCGAGTTGCCGTCGGGTTTACGTAAGATGCTTTTTTTTGGGGACCAGGTTAAAAGATCTATATTAACCAATAAAAGGTTGTAAAAATCAAAATAGACCAACCCGCATGATCATGTGTCTGCTTCTATTTTTTAATATTTTTTTTGGACCGAATATCTCTGTCTTATATGAAATAAAGATGACATGGTGCTCTCTTGCAAATAAAAAAGCATAAAAAATTTGGGTTTGATTTCACTTACAAACTTAAATTGTTAGTACATGTTCTTTTAATTTTTTTTTTTTAAAAATATAATAACATAGAGATCAGCAAAGCCAACAAAAGAGAGAGGGTGGGATCAAGAATTATTAGTTTGAATAATAATGAACACAAAATTCTCTCTAATTATTGCTGTTCTCAAATTAAAATATGTGACCCTACTTAAATTTATACAAATTAAACTTGACGAGGAGTCAAAAGAAATTAGATAAATCAACATTTCAATTAGTTTAAACTGTTTCATCCTTTTATTTGCACCGACCATTTCCTTCAATATTTACTCTCGCTCTTCTCTATATATATTTCGCCGCTTTAATTTATTAATCTTGCTAATTCTTCTGCTTTCCTCTGTGCGTGTGTGTATATATATCCATGCTTTCTTTCTTCTGGCGTATACATGTACAATGACCTTGTGTGTATAGATGAGAAATTAAACTTATGGCCAAGGTTATTTGAATCCTTAGCCTTGGCATGTTTTGTTTTGTTTTTGTTTTATGTTTTTTTAGATGAAATGATGAATTATATCACATATTACATTATAAACAAGGTCTTATTTTTACGAGAGGAGTTAGTGTATTCGTGTGTGTATACAAAACAAGAGAAGTACATTTAGAGGTAAGCATAAACCGTGGCCTGTGTTTGATAACGTTATAAACGTGGAAGTCACATCGCTTTGGGGGTCCATGAAAAAGAGCTAATCAACCAATAAAAGGCTGCAACAATACAATAATATAATGCGTATAGACCCATCAGTTTGTTGATCATATAAAATCCACAAATTTATATGGCGTGTTTGGTGACAATCGAACCCAACAAGAGAGGTGGGGTGACCAAGCATTATTGGGTTGAATGACAATGGACCCAATCTCTATTCTGTGGTGTCAGATTAAAATAATATATGACCCTACTTAAATTTATATTAACATATGCTCATTCAGTTCTTAAGAGTTATTTAACTAAATTAATTAGATTAAGTTAGTTAACTATAAAGAATATAACATGTTTTTTTCTAAAATATTATAATCATCTTTCTTAATATTTTTTCCTTCCTCTTCTATATGATTATGGTTGATAGAGTATTAATAGAGTTAACTTAAAAAAATTGATAAATATAAAAATAAGTCTTATATTTAGAACCAAGATTAATTAACAATTAGGTCATATATTAAGGAAAGAGAGTAGTATATAGATACTGACTAGTTTAGTTTAGGGGGAAAAACTTGGTCAAAGAGTCAACAAAAGTTAGATAAATCAACATTTCCACTAGTTTAAATCGTTTTTCTCTTAATTCATAGATAACGATGTCGTGTTAATTATAGCAATTCCTTGAAGTTACTCTTATTACTACTATGTAGTGTTCGGAGTCTCTTTTCTTCATTCTTCATCCTTTTTCCTCCTCTTCTTTTTCTAA